TCCCAGCTACTTGGGAGGCTGAGGCAAGAGAATCGCTTGAGCCCAAGAGTTTGAGGTTGCTGTGAGCTATGATGCCACAGCACTCTACCGAAGGCAGCAAAGTGAGACTCTGTCTCAAAAAATAAAATAAAATAAAATGATGTCTTGGCCAGGCAAAGTGGCTTATGCTTATAATCCCAGCACTTTGGGAGGTCAAGCTGGGAGGACTGTTTAAGCCAAGTAGATTAAGACCAGCTCATAGTGAGAGCTCATTTCTACAAAAAATAATTAGTTGGGCATGGTGGTGTGTACCTAGAGTGAGACACTGTCTCAAAAAAAAAATCTTGAAATTATATAAACAAAGGGAAAATTTCAGGGCAAAGATTATCACCAAATATATATTATCCATCTTGTCTCATTTCCTATACCTAAATATTCCAGACAGAGAAAACATTCAAGCACAAAAGAAGTGAGTGGTTTTCTTTTGTTTGTTTGTTTTTTGTTTTTTGAGACAGAGCCTCAAACTGTCCCCCTGGGTAGAGTGTCGTGGCATCACAGCTCACAGCAATCTCCAACTCCCGGGCTCAAGCGAGTCTCCGGCCTCAGCCTCCCAAGTAGCTGGGACCACAGGCACCCGCGACAATGCCCGGCTATTTTTTGGTTGTAGCCATCATTGTTGTTTGGCGGCCCAGGCTGGATTTGAACCCACCACCTTAGGTGTATGTGGCTGGTGCCTTAGCCACTTGAGCCACAGGTGCCGAGCCTGAAGTGTTAAAATATTAGAACAAAAACAAAGGAGAAGGGTAGATTTTATTTATTTATTTTAGATAGTCTTACTTTGCTGCCCTTGGTAGAGTGCCTGGCGACACAGCTCACAGCAACCTTAAACTCAACTGGGCTCAAGGGATTCTCTTGCCTCAGCCTCCTGAGTAGCTGCGACTACAGGCACCGCCACAACAACCAGCTACTTTTAGAGGCAGGGTCTCATTTTTTCTGAGGCTGGTCTTGAACTCATGAGCTCAGGCAATCCACCCGTCACAGCCTCCCAGAGTGCTGGGATAAGAGGTGTGAGCCACCGCGTCCGGCCCTTAATAATTTTTATTTTTATTTTTTGAGACAGAGCCTCAAGCTGTCGCCCTGGGTAGACTGCTGTGGCATCACAGCTCACAGCAACCTCCAACTTCTGGGCTCAAGCGATTCTCCTGCCTCAGCCTCCCAAGTAGCTGGGACTACAGGCCCCCACCACAATGCCTGGCTAGTTTTTGGTTGTAGCTATCATTGTTTGGCAGGCCTGGGCTGGATTCAAACTCGCCAGTTCTGGTTTATGTGGCTGGTGCCTTAGCCACTTGAGCTACAGTGGCTATATATTTTTAGAGACAGAGTCTCACTCTCACCTAGGCTAGAGTACAGTGTTACTATCACAGTTCACTGTAACTTTGAACTCCTCAGCTCAAGCAATCCTCCTGCTTTAGCCTCTAGAGTAGCAGGGGCTACAGGCATATATCACCACACCTGGCTAAGTATTTAAATGTTTTGTAGAAATGGTACCATCAGTGTTTTTTAAAAAGTAGCTTTATTGAGATATATTTTATATATCAAAATATTCACCCATTTTAAGTGTACAATTCAATGATATTGAGTTTATAGAGTCCAGCATCTACCACTATCACCTAGTTTGAAAAACACTTCCATCATCTTAAAAAGATCCCTTTTGGCCTCTATAGTCAATCACCATTCCCACCCCCACCCCCACCCAGTCACTAATCTGCTTTCTGTCTCCACAAATTTATCTTTTCTGGGCACTCATACAAATGGAATCATACAGTGTGAGGCCTTTTGTGTCTGTTTTTTTTTCACTCAGAATAATGTTTTACAGGTTCAACCACTTTGCAGCATATATCAGTACTTCAGTCCTTTTATTGCTGAGTAATTTTCTATTGTGTGGATACATCACATTTTGTTTCTCCACTCACCAGCCCACAGACTTTTGGACTGTTTCCAACCTCTGGCTATTATGAACAGCCCTGCTGAGAACATAAACACCCAAAGCTTTGCATGAGCAAATTTTTTCATTTCTCATGGCCAGACACCTAGAAGTGGAATTGTTAGACCATACATTAAAATACACATAAAATTTTTATTTTTATTTTTTTTAGAGACAGAGTTTCACTTTGTTGCCCTCGGTAGAGTGCTGTGGCATCATAGCTCACGGCAACTTCCAGCTCTTGGGCTTAGGTGATTCTCTTGCCTCAGCCTCCCGAGTAGCTGGGACTACAGGCACCCACCACAACGCCCGCTATTTTTTTGTTGTTGCAGTTTGGCCGGGGCCAGGTTTGAACCCACCACCCTCAGTATATGGGGCTGCTGCCCTACTCAATGAGCCACAGGTGCCGCCCTAAATATACATAAAACTTTTTAAGAAACTCCCAAACTGTTTTCCAAAGTGACTATACCATTTTATATTCCTAACAGCAACATAGGAGTATTCCTATTTCTCCACTACCTGGCCAAAACCTGTTATTATCTTCTTGATAATAACCATTTGATGACAGTGGCATAAAACAGTGTCCCTTGTTGGTTTATTTACATTTGTCTAGTGAATAATGCTGCTGAGCAATATTTTACATGCTTATTTAGCCACTTGAAATATTATGAAAGAAGCCAGGCATAAAAGGCCATATATAGTATGATTCCATCTAAATGAAATATCCAGAATTGACAAATGCATGTAAACAGAAAGCAGATTTAATAGATGCCAGGGGAAAGAAGCAGAGTAACTGCTAATGGGGGTGAGGTTTCTTTTTGGGGTGATGAAAAGTCTTGAATAAGAATATACCAAAACTGCTACATTGTAACATTTTAAAAGGGTAGGATTGGCTCAGTGCCTGTAGCTCAAGGGGTTAAGACACCAGCCACATATACCAGAGCTAGCAGGTCGAATCCAGCCTGGACCTGCCAAACAATGACAACTACAACCCCCCCCCACCAAAAAAATAGCTGGGCATTGTGGCAGGTGCCTGTAGTCCTAGCTACTTGGAAGGCTGAGGCATGAGAATCGCTTAAGCCCAAGAGTTGGAGGTTGCTGTGAGCTGTGATACCACAGCACTCTACCCAGGGGGACAGCTTGAGGCTCTGTCTCAAAAAAATAAATAAATAACAGGGTGGGATTTATGTCATGTAAATTATATTTCAATAAATATGTGATAAAAAAGAACAAAAATCTTTGAAATCCAGAAACCTAATTTCCTAAGAGTTTCTACAAATCTATGAGAAAAACAAATCCACTAGAAAAATGTGCAAAGGACATGAAAAGACAGCTATGAAAAAAAATAGAAGTAATTTTCATTTAAATGTGTGAAAAGATATTCAACATTATAAATGAAAGGCAAATTATAACAAGATAATACTTTGGTAAAGGACAAAAAAGATGAATGTTATTACTGTGTTCATGAAGATGTGGAGAAATGGGCACTTACATTGTTGGTGAGAGTGTAAGCTGCAACACTCTTTGAAGGGATGTAAATCAATGTAAAACACATACCTCCACTTCTACTTCTAAGATTTCATTAATTATAGTCTCACGCTTGCACAAAGTATACAGGGATACTCACTGAAAAGGTGTCCATAATTGCACATGAACAGAAACAGTGTAAAAGAACTAACTAACCGGCTCGGCGCCTATAGCTCAACCGGCTAAGGCGCCAGCCACGTACACCTAAGGTGGCGGGTTCGAATCCCCAGCCCGGACCC